TCAATTTTCCTTTGCACTAACCACAAGCATGTCGATATTTTACTCCAGGGTATCTTTTTTTTTTCTTCGTTACTCTTGAAAGTTTGCTTGCTCAAAGCATGTTGTTGCAGGATTTTACTGTAACCTCTGCTTATAAAAATGCTTATTTCTACTGGCATACATGGATCTGCATTTAAGTTTATTTCCTTTTTATGGAAGCAAACCAACTTTAAACATATTACTGCCATTTAAAGGACTGGAGTTTTAAAAAAATTGTGTCTTAGTGTCTTAAATGTAACGTAACCAAAACTGAAAACTTCTGCGATTTAAAGGAAAAGTCCGGTCAGCAAGGAATAACCAATGGATGATTTAATGAATTTAGTGTTAATCAGTAAAAAAAACCTCACGGTTTGGTAAGCCTAGCGCCATTCTTCCCGTTTACAGCAAAATCAATGGGAACTACTAGACACATCTGCAATCAACAACAATTATTTAAGATTTCGAGAGGACCTCACCATTGAAATTCATGGGAGCTAAAGTTAAACTGACAATGCCCACATGCATGGCAGTTGGATGTTGTAATTCATCACGTAAAAGTGAAAAGAAAATTTGTTATTTCACCTTTCCGATTCATGGAAACATGTTTGTCGTTGATTGCCAACTTGAAGAGGGAAGATTTGCCATCAAACTTCTGGCCAGAGAAAAAACATGAAATATGTAGCCAAGATTTTAAAGAAGAATGTTTTCAAGATGGCTTAAATAATAGCGCATTATGACAAACACCAGATACAGCATTGGGACTTGTTCTACAGCCGATACCGCACCGTGACGTCACAAACCGGTAGGTGGCAATAGTGTTCTTTAAAAAACATGGATGTCTCCGATAAAGCACAGTCATATGAAATTACTCTTAAATAAAAAGCACTTATTTATTGAACAGTATGTAATAATTTTATTTTTAAAGTAGATTCAGAAGTTTGAATTCTGAATATGACCGGACTTTTCCTTTAAAATTTTTATTTACTTAAATTGTGATTATATTACAGATGCAATTAATTATTCGGATCTGTGATATTTCTGACTTAGACATGTTCTGCAATTGAATTTCCAGCACTAAACTAGCCCCTGTTTTTATTCTGACACCAGGTCTATCAGGTTTGCACCGATCCAAAAGCAGAAAACCAGAAAACTTCTCAGAAACTGAAGTTAAATGAGGACGAGCACCATTTTTAGATCGTTAAAGTCAGTTTCATTTTGATTGGGCCCTTTCAAAACAAAACAATTACACTTCACCATGATTACTCAGATGACATGAGGCACAACCCACTTCATTACAGACACAGTGTACCTCGTCTAATAGAGAAAACAATGTCTGACATCATGCCATGGCATATTGCAGTCCAACTTTGCTTTAGCATTAAGTCCCGAACACAATCTAGACCTAATTCAGGAAACATCTAAACTCATAAAACTTTAGTTTAAAACCAGTTTTAAAATACAGCATGTGTCCAATTAATAAGGAATGCTTCTCTAAGACAATAATAAACAATCCACATCTGTGTATTTCAATACTGTTTACAAAACAGGGAGTATAAGATTTCTACTGATACCTAAACTCACCGGTGTAGCTTTAGGAGTTACTGTCAGAATAAGACTATTTTAAGTAATGGTTAAAATGTGTAAATGAAATCAGAGGAAGCTAAATATTCATAAAGCGAAGCATTAGCATTCACCTTGAATGCTCTAACAGGAAACTCGATCACTCAAAGCAGACAGGCTCCTATATCATTTAAAGAAAAGCGAGTATAACTATTTTGAAAAGCAGTTAATCAGAGAGACGTATCTTCTTAGGATTAATTTTATCTTTATTTTGATAAGAAGTTGTAGTAGAGAAATAAAATGTTTTGTGGTAAGATGAACTTGGGCTTTCAACAGAAATGTTTTAGAGGGATGTAAAGGACATGCTATTACACTGTAAAACCCTTTTTGATTCATTATAATAGTGTGGCAAGCTCTTTGGGGAAAAAATAATGTTCCTTATGCAGCCACAGCAAAAACAGAGAACTAAAGATGGACTTCATTTCTACATTACTAATCTTGTTTGCTCTCCACGACCCTAATTCCTCGCCTGAAATTACTTCAAAGCAAATGCAAATATCACAACTACAGAGGAAAATGGGCTAAAGTGCAAATACAGCTTGGCTGCAGCTTGTGACCAGCTCCAAACGTAATGCGAGTGTTTACAGCAGAACAAGTGACCTTGCTACTTGCTAATGAGAGGGATTTCCCTACCAGGAGCCAGTCTATGGTGCACTGAGGTACAACCTATACACAGGATTCACTAAATAAACTCCTAAACAACAACAAATTGTCTCACGCTCAGTTTTTTCTCGACTACTTATTAAAATCCTAGAACTTCGGATAGATCAGATTTTTTCTGTGTGCACAGTTAAAATACACTAAAACATTTGTCTTACATTTAAATGTTTTTTTTTTATATCGGTCCTTTAAACTGAATGATTTCAATGAATTTCCAGATCTTCAAGGATAAAAATAGGTGCATTAGAGGAAAAATGAAGAAGTGGAAAAAACAAAAAACAAATCAGCAGCTCAAACATGTAACACTAAGCTGAAATCTGGAAATTGTGAAATAGTAGCAACTTTGAGCCAGAACCTACATCCTTTGTTCAGGATCTCTTAGAGTGATCATTTATTACAAAAGGAGCAAAGCCCTTTGTTTATTATTATAATTACTGGGGAAAAAAGAGCACACCGACTTTCATCATGTAATAAAATGTTAGTAATTTGGTAGGCTTAAGATCATCAAGGTAGGAAGATTTAGATATGAATAAAAAAAAACTAGTACTTTAAAATCACCATAAACTGATCATAGTTGTAAGAATTTTTCCATACCATATATGTATATTTCATACATAAACTTAAGAAAACCAAATTAAGAAAAACACAGCTTTAACCCTTTACAGGGCACAAAATTTAAATTTCAAGCCAATAGTGTTATTGGAATCCAGGACAAGACCTCATTACCTTTGTACTGTTCCAAAATATGGATATTTTAATGGCAAACATTAATGTCAATGTAATAACAATAAACGCCAACTTGCCTGAATATAATAAGAAAAATTAAAAAAGTGCCTTTATAAGAAAATCATGAAAAACAGAGTGAAAGAAACATATTTTTTTTAGTACAATATAACCTTAAAGGCATTAATGCTGATACGGGCACTTACATTTTTAGTTTATTAACCTAAATATAATTGTTATTAGGCTTATTAACTTTTGAACTTAACTTTTCAACGTTTTAATTAGCTTTTTACCTTTTTTTCTTTACTTTTTTTTCCAACTCAATTTACAGTAGGTAATATATCATTCAAGGGCTCATCTAATTAGTCAAATGCCAAAATAAGATGTACAGCACTTTAGCAGCATCTTTACTAAATGGCTGGATATAGGTCTAAAACGGTAAATTTCCCTATAAAGGGTTAAGTAATTGCAGTAATTATAGTATGAAAGTCATGATTAGTACACCTTTCTAGGTGCTGAAACAATTAGTTGGATTAATCGTTTATTGAAATAATAGTCAACTTAATTAGTAATCAATTAATTGTTAATTGGAGTATAGAGTAGAGACTGTAAAACATGCCTTTAGCTGACAGAGCCTTGTAAAAAAATAAAAATAAAAAAACATTAAAAAAAAAATATATATATATATATATATATATATACATTTTGCATTTAAGACCAAAAGAGTTTCACCTTGTTTAATTTAACACAAAATCTTCTTTAAGGAACCTTTGGCTATCCAAATATAAACCAATTAATTGAAAAAATAATCGACAGATTAATTGATTTGCAAAATAATCATTAGTTCCAGCTCTACACCTTACACATCCACGAAACTGTGGGTAATTTAGGGTTCGATATTTCAAAATGGCCAAATCCATATCATATATAAGATCATGCACACTTTAGGTGATGAGTGCAAAGAATTAGTGGACTGATTTGGATGCATGCAGCATCGGTAACATGAAGCGGGGCAAAGGGGATTCTGTCAGGGATGTGTGACAGTGTGTCAGTGGTGCTGCAGGAAAGCTGCACAGCTGCTCTGGGGGAAGGGATTCCTTAAAGCATATACTGGATGGATAAAAAAAGATGGGTGATATTACAACTATATCAAAATCAAGAATAATAAAAAAAAAAAAACTATAAATCATTGAACCACAGAATGAAATAGAGATGAGCAGCACAGGTGGATACGCCTATAATTGTGCTGATGATAGGATAGGTTAACACAGGTGAAACGGTCCCCTCTTCACATTCTGCTTGATCATTTCAACCAACATAGCTAAACTACACGTCCCAGCAATCCTAACAGCCTCTTTGTTGCATGACACCTCAGCAGATGATGACTGTAGGCCTGCAGTCAGTATAAGTCAACAGTAATCAGTGTGACTCACAGTTCCATAGCAATAAAACTTGTCTGAAGCGGAAACCTGAACATGAACACACCCTGTCAGGGTTTGGTGTGACGTTCAACTGAACGCACATGTAGTCATAGGATTAAAAAAAAGATAAATTAAAAGATGACCAAGGTGACAAGAGAGTCCATCCATGGTCAGAGCTTCTCAGTATCTCAGGTCAGACACAACGAGCTCTGGCCTTGACATTTATTAATAAAGGGAGATAAATGCTAAAGAAAAATGTTTTTGAGTTCATGGTTGAGTTTAAGACATAAAGGAAGGATTAAAAAAATGGAAGAAAGTCTATCTTCTGACAATGGTGCTGGTCATGCTCTGCTAGCTCCTAAACCAACATCCTGTATTAGCTTCACCACAGCTAAAAGCCTGCCGTCTGCTCCCATTCACTTCATCACAGAGAAAAGTAGACCCGCTCAGGAAAAGTGTTATCAAACAAAAGCTGTTAGACACATGGAATAAGGAGATATATATGGCTATCCCGAAAAAACACTTGAAGCATCCCCCCACCGACATCTCTTCCTTTACCTTCAGACAGCTCCAAATCCAACTCCGCCAACTGGTCTCGAACCTCCTTCGGCAGGGCGGACAAATCCACGCCGCGGTCCGCCATGATTTGGCCGAAAAACACGAGAACAGTCTATGTGACAAGAAACGGGGCCGTCGCGGAGAGATTTTGAAAAACAAAAATAAAACCCCTCCCTCAAGACATGAAACAAGCATCGGAGAGGGAGAGACGGCCCATCCGCACGGCTTGCCCTTCCGCCATAATGGAGGGGAGGGGAGGGGGGGCTCATTCACCAGCGGCAACGTGTGGTCACGTTACCTCCTCCAGCCTCTGTTGCTGTTGTTGCTTCATCGCCGCATCCGAGGCGTCAGGGCACGCTGCTCCCCCTAGCGGTCAAACGGTAGAAACGCACACAAATATCTCACACACAGACATCAACCCAAACAAGATATAAATCTACTTTACGGTTATATTTTCCCCATTTTCATATATAGTATGGACGGATTAAATATATATTTTTAAACGTTGATCAGAGAGAATGTAATTGTACATAAGAGACAGTGTAATAAAGTTATCTGAAACTAGGTAGAAAAAGACATTTAAGGCTCAATTATTTGCTATTAAAACTATATAAATGTTAGTAAATATAAGCAAAAGCTCTATTCAAAACCATAAACTAAAGATATAGATAGGTAAATTAGGTAATTTGTGCTTTACGATGTCTGGAGTGTTTTCCATCTCTGAAGCCAGTGCTGTCATTACTATCAGACTTTTCCCAAAATGTAATTTTGTCTCAGAGAAGTTTACATTAGTCCTTCCACCTCTGTGTGTCAATCTGGCCCTAAGCTTAATAATTTCTCTTTTTATTGTTATAATTTTGTTAACAATATGAGTTTATGGATGAGTAAATAAATATTCATACATGATTGCTCAATGTTATCATGATAGTGAGTTTTTCTATACTCAAATTGAGAGCATAATACATTGAAAAAACATTTAGATGATGGACAGAATAGTTATCCTTGCCTGGTGTGTGACCCGCGAGCTACCTAAAGTTGACCCTTCCTAAAAACTGTAGGTTAAGTGGCCATAAGTAGAATAATAAATATGGCATCATTCTTTTAAATGAATCTGCTCTAAAGGTGGTTGAAGACAACTTAACCTTCAACTAATTTAGCCCAAGATAGATCAGTTTCTCATTCCAACAGTGAAACAGGTCGATATATGAAAAAAAAAAAAGCTTTTCAATATAAACAGCAAGATGTGTAATCTTCCACTTAATTGTGTTAATATCTCACATGGAACTGTAAACTACAGAACTCCTGGTGTAGCTATGCATGTTTGCTCTTCCATCACTCCAAAAACGTGAAAGGCAAATTATTTTCAAACTTCATTTAACTTCTCTAAAAATTCCCACCCACTTTCATCCAGCATTTTGTGTACCACTTTGTGTTTTTTGGTAAATGATTATTATTGAAATAATTTTATTGAAATAAATTACATTTAAAATTGAGATGCACCTGAAGAACGGAAAACATATTGATTTGTTTTTTAAAAAGTACACAACGGTAATGGCCAAGGAAAAAAATACAATAGTTCATATGGTAGTGTATATAGATTGGGATAATCTACTCCATTCTATTTGAATAAAAAGTTTCAAGTGAAAACTGAATACGAGTACGAGTAAGAGTACAAATTTAGCTCCAATGGAGGCTGTAAGCTGAAAATAAATAGCCTGCTTAATTAAAAAGTGTTAATGATTACAGGAGGTTAAATTCTTAATTCCACGAACATGGGGGTTGTTCCATGATCGTGGTTTTGGACATTGAAACCACTGTCTACGTTTCATCTCGACATAAGACCTCTGCAAGGTTACTGGTTCCTGATTAGGCAAATCATTTAATAAAACCTTATTTGGCCAAATAAGGTTTTATTGACCTCATGGATTTGCATTGTAAATTGATTTGAAAACAATTTACATATATAAACTTATTTTGTAACTAATTTGATCATATCCCAAATTCTTCCAGATAAACTTTTGTTTTCAAACACAAAATCCATCTTAAGCTGTAATATGGTTTTCAACCATGTTTCCACTTCCTCTTTGTACAAAGGTTAGTTTAGTTGAGTTTCACTAGTTTTAGTTAAGAGTTTTAAACTGAAATATGTTAGACTTGGAGCTGACTTTTGTTAAAACTCTTATATTTTGAACAGATGCTGTGGTGAATTTATTCCATGTATGTGCAGAATTATCTGTTTGATCATGATATGAGCTCGAAACACTCATTGTTCTAACAAACAGCTAGTAGGGCGTGTTTTCATAAACAATATTTAACAGCCCAAATAATATCTGATTAAATAAGATATTTACCACCACCCCTACCGGGAGGGCAATACACGTCTTAAAGTATCAGAAAATATGAATTCCAAGCTGGCTGGGAGTTGAATATAACAGTTATTCACAACATTAATATGGCATCCAACCTGGATGGACTTTGAATATAAATTCACAACATGGGTTACTGATGTTATTTAGAAAGTTAAACAAAAAAATAAACAAAACGAGATCCTTAGTATGTAGTTTCTTTAATTAAAACTGCAGCACTTTAAAGTGTTCATGATATTCCACTTGGACATGCATGGAAAAGTAAATATATTCATATAGTACAGATATGTACAATAAAACATTTTCTAAAAATCATCCATCTGGCAATGGGAGTGTGAAAAAAAAAAAAAGAAATACACAATGCGAAACTGTTACCTTGTATTTTTTCCATTCAACTTGTAAATTCATAGCAATTTGAATATGAATAATAAGGCAGAGACTGAAAAATAAAATGTAAATTGACCAATTTAGAAAAATAAGTTAAACAAGGACAGTGAAAAAGACATGGCCAGACATTTACTAAAGAGATTAAACTAAAGCCAGAGACTTCTTTTTGTAAAAAGAGTCAACGTTTCTTCCATAGAGAATACAAACTGATAAAAACAGTGTTAAATGAAATAACTCTATATTCATCAGTACAATCAAAAGCAGTATGAGACAGGTTGTACAGTGTTTACAACACCACACAACGACAAAGAACAGTAAATGACAGAAAAAGGTGCCCATCACACAAATGAGAATCCAGAAAATAATGAGCGATATAGTAGTTTAAAATTTCTTTCATATAAACAATCATCTATATGGGACTGCTAGCTGTGTATATAGCGCCAGCAAGTAAAATAAAAAAGCTAGGGTCGCCATTGGGACTGTAGGATGAGAGGTTCAGTCGCAGCATAAAGTTTTAAAGTTGGTGAGAAAATTCCCCATTCACATCTACAGTACAATTTTGGGAAGAACAAAAAACTGTCCTGTTCTGAGAAACAAAAGAGTTGCACGAACAGAGATACAAAGCCACAATAAAGTCTTACTTTAGTGCTTTTTAAAAAGATCAATATGATAGATACTTTGCTTTTCAAAATAGCATCTTGCAAATATATGATCACCGTAGCAGAAAAGGAAAGCACAAGAGAAAAAAGGAAAAGCATGTTATTTGTGTGTTTATGCAAAAATACATATAGTTAAATATCTTGGAAATATAAAAAAAAAAAAAAAAAAAAAAACTATTTCAGATGTTTCTGTTCTTAAAGCTTTTACAAGAAAAACATTTTCTTTATTTCTCCACCAGATGACAGAAAGGAACAAGTATTTTTCCCCATTTCTTTACTGGAAATACAGTATGTCAATGCAATTATATAATAAAACTGTCGAGTAATGTTAGAACCCAGCCAGAAGCATCACATCTGTATTTGCACATTCGATTTTTAAATATCAAAGCGGAAGTATCAGAGGCACGCGTGATCTTAAGGCAAACAAAGATGTGTGTGAGAGATCGTGTCAAAGTGCAAGAAACAAGTAGTGATAGACTAGATTCTGTCACTGCAACACCAAATAACAGACTGTTTACTTCCTGTCTCAGAACAAGTACCAGGTGGTCTTTGGAGACCCAGAGAATATGGCTTAGTTTAGGTTTGGTAAAGAGCAGAGACTAGAGGGGTGGGTGGGGGTGTGTGTGTGTGTGTGTGTGTGGGGGGGTGGGTCGTCACACTTCCGACAAGCAGCAAGGATGATCGCCATCCTGAGAAGTATGAAAACAGTTACATAAAATCCTGGAGCCTCACAGAAACGCAGTGAGAGTAATTTCATATAAGGTGAATAAAAGGCCACCAACTATCTGATTTCTAGTGAAATATGAAGGACAGCGGAGGAGGAATTCCTTTCAGGGTAAATGGAAAGCTTAGAAAAAAGATAAAAATCGAAAGTACAATCAAATGTATTTTAGTTGTAGAGACCAATATTGGAGGATGTGCCAGTTTCATCGAGGAAAACACATAGCTGCACACACGTTCAGGAAAGGTCACATGCAAAAAACATATAACAAGGCGCCAAATCTAATGTAACCACTTATGTTCTAGTGTACATAAGCATACAATAGCACGCAGCTAATAAGTCTTAACATAAAGGGGTAATATGAGGTAACGTGCTTGGGTCCATGATGCTGATGTGGAACTTTTAACAGGATGGTGATCAGAATCAGAACAACTTGAGACGGTTGTTCTCGTCAACTGAGCTGAAGGTGTGTGGGTGTTAGCATGGTTACAAATGTAGATCATGGTTACAAATTGTAGATCAAATCAGATCTACAATTTTTATGCAACTCCTTTGAGTCTGAAACTGTGCACGTAGGAAGTCCATTATCAAGGCAGGGGGTCAATGCACATCCTTAAAGTCTTTTGAAAAGTTTGTTTTCACCAAGGGTGAGGAGAGATGAGCAGAAGAGGCAAAGAGGAAAAGGGATATCGGAGTCCAGCCCCTGTAGTTTATGGCAAAGTTAACAGGAAGCTCTCACTAAAAGTCTCAGACCATTCCCAGAACGCTGCCGATGCTGCTGAGCTCCAGGCCACAGCTTGAAGGCTCCACAGGAGGATGAAAGGAGGAGAGACGGAGGGAGGAGATGTGAAATTTGGACCTAAAGGCTGTAGATAATGGGAGTCTTTTTCTACCCCTGGGTAATGAACCAAGTCTGGGCCGGTGGTGGTGCTGCTCATCATCTCGCAGCAGACTGAGACTGTGCTGCCATGATGATGTGAGAGGGTCCACCCTCTACCCTCTGGTGCTGACCCATTCCTGCTAGCACTGACATGGCCATGGCCTCAGCTGCAGCTCTTGTGCTTAAGCCGTTTTGACCCACTGAGGGGCTGGGTGCCAAAGAACTGTGCTGGATCACTGGGGCAGGAGAACCTGTTGGCTCTGATGTGTCCTTTAGGCCGTCTTCTGCAGCTGCAGAAAACAGAAAGATAATAAATAAAAAAATTAAAAATCTATATAGAAAAACAGAGCAGATTAAGTGTGAAAACTGAGTTCCGACTAGTCTGGCAAAAAAAAAAATATTCTATATATTTTTTTCAGCTAAATGTGATCAATGAGTTGTCTGTCAAAAAGTCTGACTATTACTCTGATTTAATCAGAAGCAGCAGTCCACCAAGGCACCCTCGGTCTGCCTCCATCTTTAGACAAAAACTCAAACTGCAGACTTGTGACGGTCTCTGTGCTCTAATTAGCATCAGTTAATCGACTACTTTTAATCCTAGCTCTACACATGTACCTTACCTAAGTAGGCAGTCTTCTTTTGTAGGGTGGTTACAGGGCAGTCCTTGTGGGCGAGCAGAAGCTGCTTTAAATGTGCCACCTCGTTACGCAGCAGTGAAACCTCATTCTGAAATGAAATGGAAAAAACTTAAAAAGAAAGAAAAACATTATGCCAAAGGACAGCTTTCAAATTTCTATGTTTTTTCATAAAGGGATTTTAAATGGATTTACCTTCTTAAAGATGTAAGTCTTAAAGGTTTAAGCCTTAAAAACACTTAAGTGATGCAAACTGATATGTCTTGCAAGCTTTCGTCCTCCTTCCACCCACTCCACACCCACTCACCGACAGCGAGACGTTGAGAGTGCTCAGCTCCTCAGCCTTCTTCTCCAGAGAACTGACCCACAGTTTGCGTTTCTGTCTGCAGCGCGATGCCGCCGCCCTATTCCTCTCCAGGAAGCGCTGCCTTCGCTCATCTGGGTCATCATCTGTCGTTCGCCGTCGACGCCCACCTGTAGGCTGTGCCGGCGATACCTGATGGAGAAAAATGACAAGAGGTCAAAAGGAAACAGACAAGCGAGGGGAACGGAAAAAAGACTAGAAAGACAAAGGAAGTTTGACTCATAGTTTCAGTGCTGGAAACCGACACACATTATAGTCATCTAGGCTCATTATTACGTCTTTTAATGCCTTCAGAAGGTTTTTCAATATTAATCGATTTCGCCTCAGTTTTCTTTATCTAACTACCTGGGGTTGTGCAGGCGATGGGGCATCTGGATGCTGGACCAAAAGCTGGCTCTGCTCGGCCTTCTGAGGGACCATGGGGCTGCTGCCCATTACCATGGCACCCAGATGCTGTCCTGATGGGCTCTGCTGCGATAGCGCTGCTTTCAGACGCTACAGGGAAAGACGGGGATAAAGAGAGACCGAATACCACAGTTATCAAGCTGAAAATACAGGTGCTGGTCATAAAATTAGAATATCATGAAAAAGTAGATTGATTTCAGTAATTCCATTTAAAAAGTGAAACTTGTATATTATATTCATACATTACATACAAACTCATATATTTCAGATGTTTATTTTGTTTAATTTTGATGATTACAAATGACAACAAATGAAAATCTCAAATTCATCATATCAGAAAATTAGAATATTACTGAAGACCAATAAAAACAAAGGATTTATAGAAATGTTGGCCAACTGAAAAGTATGAACATGAAAAGTATGAGCATGTACAGCACTCAGTATTTAGTTGGGCCTCCTTTGGCCTGTATTACTGCAGCAATGCGGCGTGGCATGGAGTCGATCAGTCTGTGGCACTGCTCAGGTGTTATGATAGCCCAGGTTGCTCTAATAGTGGCTTTTAGCTCTTCTGAATTGTTGGGTCTGGTGTATTGCATCTTCTTCTTCACAATACCCCATAGATTTTCTATGGGGTTAAGGTCAGGGGAGTTTGCTGGCCAATTAAGAACAGGGATACCATGGTCCTTCAACCAGGTACTGGTAGCTTTGGCACTGTGTGCAGGTGCCAAGTCCTGTTGGAAAATGAAATCTGCATCTCCAAAAAGTTGGTCAGCTGCAGGAAGCATGAAGTGCTCTAAAACTTCCTGGTATGTGGCTGCGTTGACCCTGGACCTCAGAAAACACAATGGACCAACACCAGCAGATGACATGGCACCCCAAACCATCACTGACTGTGGAAACTTTACACTGGACTTCAAGCAACGTGGATGAAGTGCCTCTCTTCTTTTCCTCCAGACTCTGGGACCTTGATTTCCAAAGGAAATGCAAAATTTACTTTCATCAGAGAACATGACTTTGGACCACTCACCAGCAGTCCAGTCCTGTTTCTCTTTAGCCCAGGCAAGACGCTTCTGACGCTGTCTGTGGTTCAAGAGTGGCTTGACACAAGGAATGCGACAGCAGAAACCCATGTCTTTCATACGTCTGTGTGTGGTGGTTCTTGAAGCACTCACTCCAGCTGCAGTCCACTCTTTGTGAATCTCCCCCACATTTTTGAAGGGGTTTTGTTTCACAATCCTCTCCAGGGTGCGGTTATCTCTCTTGCTTGTACACTTTTTTCGACCACATCTTTTCCTTCCCTTCGCCTCTATTAATGTGCTTGGACACTGAGCTCTGTGAACAGCCAGCCTCTTTAGCGATGACCTTTTGTGTCTTGCCCTCCTTGTGCAAGGTGTCGATGGTCGTCTTTTGGACAACTGTCAAGTCAGCAGTCTTCCCCATGATTGTGTAGCCTATAGAACTAGACTGAAAGACCATTTAAAGGCTTTTGCAGGTGGTTTGAGTTAATTAGCTGATTAGAGTGTGGCACCAGGGGCCATCAATTTTGAACCTTTTCACAATATTCTAATTTTCTGATATGATGAATTTGAGATTTTCATTTGTTGTCATTTGTAATCATCAAAATTAAACAAAATAAACATCTGAAATATATGAGTTTGTATGTAATGTATGAATATAATATACAAGTTTCACTTTTTAAATGGAATTACTGAAATCAATCTACTTTTTCATGATATTCTAATTTTATGACCAGCACCTGTATGACCAAAGTAGCAGAAGAATAAACCATGCAGAGTTAAAGCAATAATGTTATTATCACAAAACCATGCTAGACCTTTAACTTACAGCGTGTCATGTCATCAACCCAAATGCATCGAAAGCTAAATTAAGTCAGGTTTTGGTTTGTATTTCAGCACGCTTTTATATTGTCTGAGCCATGCTCCACTATCTAGCTGGATTTTTATTGTCAAATCTTATCAGCTAAACGGAAACAAATCCGAAATAATAGTTAATTGTTTATACAAAAATAACTCTACGCAATAGCATAAAATGAAAAAAATTATTGTTCCAAGCAATGTACAAGGTGAGGTCTGAGATCAAATATTAAATAACAGAAGTGGATATAAAAAGGTTGGTTTTCTTCAGTACATTCATGTGACATGAGGATCCATCTTACCAGGGTTTGCTTCTTAAGGCATTAAAAAAAGTCTCTAGAAAAAGGTTGATATGTAATTATTGTGATGATAGATTATGATCCAGCACGCAGTTTAAACTAGCCAGTAAGGATCTTAAGGCATACAACAACTATTTACATATAAAATAATCCCCCAATAATAATAATTCTGACACAAATAAAACAGTCAAAGTTCTTAAAGTACATAGATGCTCTTAAATTTTGATGAAAACACACAAAAAAGCAGCAGCCTCTACTTTTTAATCACCGCAACTCTCTTTTTGTGAAAATTGTGGCGATGTATGTAAGAGTTAAAAAATAACAAGTTACCACAGTAAAAAGTCATATGATTTAAAAAAGTAAGGCAAAGTAGACACAAGTCTGGAGGGTAAGGATGCGGATAAGAAGAACAGATAGAGAGATAAAAATAGAGAGCTAATTTAGTGCTGACCATCTTGGCCTCTGAGTGGATGCTGTAGCCAGAGGGGGAGTTGGAGCCGCTGCTGCTGCCTCCCAGAGGAGGACCAGGGATTCCAGGAATGTTGGGTACCATACACATGGGTCGAGCGAGCTAGAGTCAGACATGATGCATAAATGCACATAAATTAAACCAGAACATTCTTCTTCTTTTTAAAGATGAGGTGAAAGAAACTGCTGGCGTGCCTTACATTAATGACGGAGGGAATCTGGACAGGACCGGGAAGCACAGGTACAGCCTGACCCGAGGGAAGCATCATCATCGGGTAATGGCTCGTTGGAGAACTATTAACAAACGGGAACCGAAAGAAAAAGAGATGTTTGCATAAAATGCTTTCAGTAAACAGTCATCTAAGCAGAAGCATTAACCTATGCTTCATATCCAGGCTGCTCTTCTAGGTTTTAACAATAAAAAAACAAAACAAAAAAGTCAGACCTTAAAGGGGAACACCGTTTTTTTACATTTGGCCCTTAATTTTATGTTATTACATAATGTTCTAGTCACCCATATGAGTTTTGTGTCAGTTGGAGCCATTCTAAAGATATTCCATTAGGTTATATCCAAGTAACGTCTTCCTATGGGCGAACGACTTGAAGGCACAAACTAAACTGTTCATAATTTATTGTTTATGGTACGCCAGCATTTATAACATGTAGGCGAATCACTGTCCCCCAGACATCCGCTGGTATATTTTTTTATATTTATATCTTTTAAAAACGAAGCTGCGCGTGTATGACATCATCCACGTGCGGCGGCTACCGTTCATTCTTCGTGTCCGCTGAACTACTGCTAGTTTTACTCACATGTCTGGAAGATGTCTAGTGCTACTACCACAGATGATCTCCCTCTCGAAATGGAATTGAACGATTCAGATTAGCTAGCCGAACGAACAGAAGGGGTAGAGCGTAGCGCCTGTGGCCCGGGCTGCCTGTCACAACTCCAAAACACATAAGTGGATGACATCATACACGCGCCGCTTTGTTTTAAAAAAATATAAATATAAAAAATATAATCGCAGATGTCTGGGGGACAGTGATTCACCTACATGTTATGAATGCTGGCGTACCATTAATGATAAGTTATGAACAGTTTAGTTTGTGCCTTCAAGTCGTTTGCCCATAGGAAGACGTTACTTGAATATAACCTAACGGAATATCTTCAGAACGGCTCCAAATGACAAAACTTACATGGGTGAGTAGAACATGATGTAATAACGTAAAATCAAGGGCCCAATGTAAAAAAAAAAAACCTGCGATCCCCTTTAAAAAAAACAAACAATGGATGGAAACAACATAGGCCTTTTAACAACTCGTGGGGCTGTAAGAGCATCGCTAGACGGAGCTGCTTTTCAAGGACTCACGCAAGCGGTCTGGAATGGAGAGGAGGATGTGGAATTAGACATGGGAAGACGGCACACAGGCAAAGCAAGCAACCGCGTGGCCCCCCTACCAGCAAGGATCCCAACCAAGGGCCCCTTTTGGTTGCCCACCCTTCTAACAGTGTCCCAGCAAAACGCTTGGTGTGTATTTGTGAACAGGAGGAGGTGGAAGTGGATTAATTGAATGCAATTAGCGATCAAAACTAATACTGACTCAGAAACGGATAATTGTAAGTTACAAATAATTATCTTTTAATCCAGCATTACGTGAGGGGGGAGGTTTTCTCTAAAAAGTATCTCCATGGTCATATGCTGGTGAAGAGTCTCAGTCATCCAGGTCATAATCATCCAAAAATAGAAAATTAAAAGCAGTATGTACAGTTTTTAACAGTATTAAAAACTCTATACTAGAAAACTAAAAACTTGAAGTCAATGTTATTCCTGACATTTTGAATTGAAAAAGCTTCCTGGATGGGAAGCGAAACGTCTTCAAACTTGGAAACAAAGTCCAGTGGATTTTTTTTAATTTTCTTTTTTTGGAATCTCCATGGCTATCATAAGGAATAGAGCAGATGGACTCCACCTTAGCTATATACATATACATATACATATATATATATATATATATACATATATATATATATTGAGCTATAAATATATATTGAAAGGTTCTGGCTGTGGGAGAAAACAGGGAGAAAACAGCAGGAATTGTCTAGCTGGATTTATCTTCAGATATTAAAAATATCAGATTCTTAGTTCAGTGAAAATCAAAGAATTTATTCAAAGGTTAGCTAAGCACATTTAATGGTTATTTAAATCATTGCATTGCTGCACTCAGTCCACTAATATAAGATACATTATTAAAATATAAGGTATCTGCTGGTGCCAGTAGAAATAGTAAGAAGTGGAACAGTAACCCTTCATCTCCTCCAAACTAAGCTAATTAAACAAGGATACAGTTTTACTCAACATAAAATATACAAACTAGACAGGTCTTAATATCTGAAACATTGATACTGATAAAAAGACAAAAGATGAGGATTGAAGAAATGTCCTGGATGAGGCTTTTAAGTTATATTCTGAACCACACAAGATAATGCCTCTTTCTCCACGGAAAGCATTTTACAGAAAATGATTTACTGATGGACCAGATGCAAAACAACAGACCATTCAGTAAAATGATTGATTTGAAATGTGGACAGGAGAAGTAAAAACAGTTCCTTCATTAGAGGAAGGATGGGCTGGAAAAACGACCTGAGCTAATTTATTAAAGAAAAACAGATTCATAGTCAATGTTTATCAAATGTTTGAAAGGCTCTCATAGAGAATAAAAGATGTCTTTTTAGAATCTTACCAGAAAAATTAACTTTTGATCAGTTATGATTATTTTCTGAGTTCAAAATAAAATTTTTTTTAGAATGAGCAGAAATTCAAAAACAGTGATTTTTTCCCCCTATCAGTCGTAAACCCTGTGTGCCTTCACTTCTCAGTTACTTAAAAAAAAAAATAAAAATTTCCGAAAAAGAATATAGTTCCATGAATTCATTTTCTCTAGCAAAGTATTATAGGTATATTCTTTATCTTTTTTTAAAGACAGGAAATAAAAAGGACCTCCTTCATCCCCATCCTAAAGCCACATTTGATATACAGCACACCCATGTTGCTGAATCAAACATCATCTATTTAGTGATGCCTCCACTGTGGTAACTCTACAGAATCGCTCACTCTGAGGGCCGAACGGGACATTAAGGCAGACTTGGAGGACAGAGCTCCAGTTGGGGCCCCAAAATGGTCAAGTCTGCCACTTATTTTTTTAAAATGTTAATTTCACTGAATTCTCAGTGGAATATTACTTTTAAACAGAGTGTAATGTCAGGTGCGTTTCCATCAGCTTTTTTCTAATGGGCATTTTAACACATCGCATCAGAAAAGTTTAATGGAAATGGCACAATTTGAAAAATCCCTAAAACTCGTAGAAACTTTTTAAAGCTCTCTTGAGTTGGTTTTCAGCTTTAGCGAAAAAGGACTAATGCACAAAATGGCAGAATGAAACACTATTGCCCCATTTCCACTAACACTCTGAAACCAATCCAAAACAACTTTACACCTAGGTTCTATCAGCTAACTGAACCGAGCTTGATTCTTACGACCATTTACACATCATGCTAGCACGGTGCCTCACCGCCTATCTGCAGTCCACAATACTACAGCTCTCAAAGCGGGAATTACGCAAACAAAATTGGCACCGCCCATAACATTCAGGAACTTAAGTGCCTGGATAGCGTCCTCCGCCCAAATTTCAATGAGAGCTTCAGTCTCTGCACCATCCCGGGTCGCACCACGCTTCTTTGATGCCATTTATTGTTAATAGGCTGAGAAGAAATTTGTGTTGTGAAAAGGTGAAGAGATCTGTGAATTACAAAGCCGGACACTGCGGAAAACCCGTGAAATTAGTCAGTAGACTGTATGTAGGAGATGACGCGGTTTGCTCATGCGCTCTTTGTTATCAGAGAGTCGAGCCACAACTGAACCTTGCCGAGCCTACCGTTTAATTAGTTTTAGTTCGGTTCGGTTGTGTCTGGCATGGTCCAGTTCAGTTGCGTCACATTTACACTCAACAGTTATCTCTGTTACCCTGCTTGGACCATTCTCAGCATGGTTTCAAAAGGGTAGTAGAAAAGGGGCTTATTTTTCAAATCAGCTGATGACTAATCAGCTGTTTCTGATGTCGGAGTCTTCCTGGATGTTCTTATAATGCGTGTAAACATGGCTGGAAGCAACATTGCCATACATAATGTAAGAGCGACACATTCCTTAAATCTTTCTTCCATTACTGATCTGTGGTCAGTGTTAGATCACTGCCTCTACTTCCTGCTTAATACAACACAATGTGAACAATGACGTAGGATGACATTACACCTTGCAGTGCTTGTTTACTTCGCTTTAAACCAAATTCTCTCAACTCTGCAAAATCGTATTCCCACCCCCCAACTTTTAAAACTGCCTAAAATTTGCATTTCAGCTGGATGGAAACACGAGGTTTCTTTCTGTTATATCAACTGTCACTGCTTGCATGCTAGGTGTGATGGGTTGCTGCTCAATTAGTGACACATTGCAAGCGAATGTCTGCCGTCTCATCCAGGGGGAGCGACGGCTCGATGCAATCAGCTAGGTTTCCTTTCACCAATCTCTCTCTATATTTAAATGAAATGCCTAGAGATAAATTGTCTTGGGAATTGATGCTATATAAAAAGACTGAACTGAATATAAACAGTGAAAATGATGGGAAAACACGCTGAACGTTCTTTATGTGTTAAATCATTTTTGTTCCTAAAGAGCAATTACAACTAGTTAAAAATGGGTGTCTGCAGGTCAAACCTGAGGTCAGAAACCACAAAATGATCATCAGTACATTTAACGCAGAGGTAGGAGGTTTAATACAACTAACCCCAAAGTGCGATTTGAAGGTGGTGCCTGTGTGATGACAGAGGTGGGTGATGGCATGGTGGGTTGAAGAGCATCAAAGCCCAAATGTAGTGGGAGAGAACCTGGGCGAACAATAGTTGGAGTGGGAGCTGAACTCCTAGGAGGGGTGTCCTAGGAGATAAGCAATGCAGCAATGTAAAGAACATGAAACAGCTTCTTTAAAATTCCTTTGAGTTTATTTTCAGATGATTTAGATAAAAATAGGAAACAAAATGCTGTTAAACTGAACAAGTCATCTCTTCACCCACCTTTACTCTAACGATGGGCTCCTGGTTGCTGTCCGAGGTTCCAGATATCGATTCTGGGCTGCCTGGAGGTGAGGAGTCCACTTCTACAGGCACCTCCTGTTTCACCTTCACATCTGAGGGTGTCTGCAGGCTCATGTCCACAGCCACAGAGTTGGCTGCTGGAAGCTGTAGAGTGACAAAGGAAAATAAATTAAAAAACAACAAAAAACCCAGAATAAATTCACATGACCAACAGAGTATGAAAAAGGGAAGTTGGTATTTAATATACAAATTTGCTTGTCATGGTTAGGTTCATGAAACACCACTTTTAGTTCAAATGAACGACTAATGCATCTGCTTATATGAACACTGCTGCAATAACTGAAACTCTAATGATGCATAAAAACTGTGCAACACAGGAGTTTCAAACTGTAGGTTTTGATTAAATCAGCAGTTGAGCTAAAAAGAGGGAAGTGAGGACATTTTTACTACATTGAAGTCTACAGAAAATATCCCTGATGTTTGAACAAAGCAATACATGTAAAAAGGAACATAAGCATGACAGTCAAAATGGTGATCGTCCTCACAAGCTGCTTTCTTACAGAGTTTTTTGCCTTTTTTTCATCGTCATCTTGTTCGAAAGAGTTAGCAAGTTCATTAAAGAGGCCGACTTCCTCGCAGTTCTTCAGAAAACGAGTGGGGGTAGGTGTTTGATCTAGAAAAGAGCAGCAACAAAGAAGGAAATGACTGTTAAAACAATATGACAAACTGTTTAACACTTGGCAATTAGAATAAGGACTTTCTTTTGCAGGATTTTTTTATGTCGCATAAAAAAAAGACCTAGAATTTTTTGAAAATGTTCTTACATTTTGTCTTTTTCCTCTTTATTTTTATTTATGACCCATTAATGCACAGAAAAATGCAGCAAACAACCACCTGCTTCAGCAGAGACTATTTGCATTGTCTTTGTGCAAATAAATTTGCCTTGCCTTATAAATTAATTGGTTATTGGATGAGTTTTTATAGCATCTTTTCATCATAGTGGTCACTCGAGGCGATTTTTACCAACGCAATGTCACATTCAAATATCCATACAATGACATGTGGCACCAGAAAAAACAGGAATCAAACCCAAAAACTTTCTTATTTACAGACAACTAGTTTACCCATGGGACAAAAATAACTTTAACCCGAACTTACTGCATCTGTAAATCTCTGATAGGATTAAATAGGCAAAAGTCAGCATTCTCCTCAATGTGTGAACCTCATAATACAAATGTAACAAATAGACACCATCATGATCAGAATATTTTAGCAGCAGTAGGAAAAATGGGCTGTTCTATTTTAATGATGAAATGTGTTAATACTGTGTTATTATCATAATGCGAGAATCTCATTTTAACCCAGTCGAAAATATAATACAGTCCAAATATAGGAAAGATTCTTAACTTGTTTTGTATTACAATAATGGATCAAAAGTTTCTTTAAGTCTATATTTAGGTCAAACATTTAAAATATAATATAGCTTTATTAGAAGCTTCTTTAGTTAGTTAGGGGGTTAGTTTCTCAGACCCTAGATGGTGAAAAGAGTTGCATTAAACTTTGTGATATATATCGCCCAGTCTTAGTATAGACATCACAATAACTACTCTGTATGTTTATGAGCCTATCATGTTAAAATTATATCAGTTAGTGGAGAAAGGTGATCCCGATCATAAAATTTAAACTGTGATATTTTCTAGAATGAAGAACTGCTGATAACTGCTGATATCTTTTTAGCTGTAAATCCATCACCCCATGTATTCTTCACTAGGGGAGGGCATTTATCGTATTGTTTATCTTAATCGTGATAATTTTTAGTCATAAAGGTTTTGATCCGTCGTCTAAATTATAATTTAGATTAAAAACTCCACAAACTGGTTCAATTTATCAAAGTTTTGTTTTTACAATATTTCTTTAATTTTTATCCATTGGGGCATTGACACATTTGAAGAACATCATTAAATGCAGTTACTATAAGATGATTAGTGACATAAATAATACTTGTCCTGAAGAAAACAATTTCAAATGTGTATATTGTTCAATAGTATTTAATATTGTGGGGCAGTTACCTAAGAAAGACTGAAGAAGTAATTTTTTATTCATAACTTTTATCGTCATTCCGTTAGAATAGCAAAACATTGTGATAAGATTTTAAGTCCATATTGCTGAGTGCTGCTCTAAAGAAGTCTCTAAAAATAAAACTTTTATTTTCATATGTTAACAACACTGCCTGAACATGAATAGAAAAGTAATTCAAACGGTAAAGGTAAATATCCTGATCAAAAATTATTTCAGAGAGACTCTTTATTATCTTTTACCAGATATCAAGAAGATATCAAACTATAAATTACTAAATCCATACCTAGTTAGCAGTTAGAGTTGGCTGGTAAAAAAAAATAATAATTTAAAAATGATCTAAATGGAAAAAAAAAAAACAGAATGTAAAAAAAAAAAAAAAAAGGCATTTAGACAACCTCAAGTCTTTAAATTATGAGAAAAAATAAAATGGTCGGATTAAGGTTGGGCGATATGTAAATATTTTCCAATACTCATCAGGCCAACTTTATGAGCAAAGACATGCACCCCTCAGAGCGCATCTTCTGCAGCGCTGCTAATATTGTTCCCAACCTGCAAACACTGTTAAAACCCAATAAGGTAACATGCTTGTTGACTGGTCAGAAATATACACGTTTTGTCCAATGGGAATAGGTTCATCTATTCCAGTTGTTCTGAACATGTCATGAGACATTATAGTTTTTTTATTGTTATTCATTTGTTTATCTGAATGTTAAAAATCTAACAGGCTGAAAACTGGGGCAGAGATTTTTATTTTTATAGAAAGCGCACAGCTTCACTGGAGAGGGTAATTTTCCTTTTTTATTTTTTATTGTTAATTTTGTGTTTGTTGTGTTAAATCAAATCTTTAACAGACGGAGCAGTCTGTAAACACTTGGTTCTGGTTCTTCTTCAATTCAGTTCCTTCTTTCTGTATCAAGTAGATTAATTGCTGTTTCACGGTGGCACTAAAAAAAAAAGCAGCAGCAGGACGAAGTATGTCTGAACTAGGGCTGCAACTAACGATTATTTTGAAAATCGATGAATCGGCCGATTATTTTTTCGATTAATCGATGAATCGGACACAAAATATTTTTTTTATATTAACCTCTTCATTCCAAAATAAACATTTTAGACAGAACAAACAAGCACGCAAGTACAGGTTTCTCATTAACTGTACTGGTGCAATATGAAAAATAAATGTTTGTGTTAAAACTACGCAAACTTACATGAGAAATGTAGCTGTACATCCACAAAATATAGGGTATTTTGTTTCATAAAGCGCAAAAAGAGACAGGCATTTTTGTTTTTTAAAGCCCCTAAGGGGTTCAAACAATAGCCCCCCCCATTTCAACAAATGAGGTTTTTATAGACTAGAAGAGTTCTGCCTTTTAAGACAGGAAAGTATAGCAGTTAAAGTTGCTACTTGAGAAAATACTGAACCATAGAGATAAAAATAGCCCTGTGATTCAAATTATAAATTGTATTTGGAATAAAAATGAGAGAACTAGGGGTGCTAAAAAACACATCCTCCAAAGACAGATATTTACATGGGAATGTGGCAGATAATTAATTGACATATTACTGATCTGGCTGGATTTTATTCTGCTTTACTTCCATAAATTGCAGGATCTTCTTTACTTTATCTTTGCCAGAAGATTTAAACTTTAAAAGCCTTGCCCTCATAATTTGCAAATTAATTTATTTATAAAGAAAATATAAACGCTGCTTAAGCTAATTCAAATGAAATTAAAAGTAAAATAAGAAGCCAACCTTATCACTGTCTGTAACCTACTAACAAGCTAAGGAAAGCATCAGATGAGCTACCTGAGAAACTAACGTAACGTTTCCCCACTTTAAAATGAAACAAACATGGTTACTCATCCTGCTGATCAGCTCTCTTCACTGCCATTGAAGGCTCCAACGTGTTTTCTTTTCAGGTGCTGCGTCATAACAGTGGTGCTTCTGTGCCATGTTCATTTGTTTTTACAAAAGTTGCATGTTACGACTTTTTTCACTTTACAAAGCGCAGGCTATTTTAATTATTGTGATCAATTTGCGCCGTCAATCCCGGGGCATGCGCGCTTCATTTGCAGTCTGGACGCTGAGGGTAAACTCCTCACTAAAATCCTGCGGCTCTGACTGCCCCGCTGAGAGGGATTCCTGTGGGAGAGAGAGAAAGGGGTTGGGATGGGGGAGGCGCCCCACGGCAGCAGCTGCCGCTGGAGGAGAAGAGTAGGAACGATACATGCTTTCACGTAAGAGTCTCCAAAAGCCGCCAGTGACACCGAAAAAAGTCGCCAGATTTGTCGCTAGTAGCTTTTTAAAAAAATAGTCGCTGGAGGGGTCTGAAAAGTCGCTGAGTTGTCAACACTGCAACTGCGGCGCTGACTCGCTCCGCCATATTTTTTTTTCTTCCCCGGGATGACGGCGGCGGCGGATGACGCATTAATCGCGCGACACAACTAATCGATGATTAAATTCGTTGCCAACGCTTTTAAAAGTCGATTTTTATCGATTTCATCGATTCGTTGTTGCAGCCCTAGTCTGAACCATTAAAAACAGCATTAGGGTTTTTTTTGTTTTTCTTGTCCTGCGCTGCGTCTTAACCCCTTGGTCCAAAAAGAGACAAACAAAACAACGTAAAAATGCTCTTAGAAAAACAATCATTGAAGGGCTGAGTCCATCGTCGATGGCCGATTGATTCATCCAAGCGCCAACCCTTAGTCCAGATTGCTGAAACTTAGCAATGGAAATGACTGAATAATAGATGAAAACAAAAAACAAACAAAAAGAAGTACCAGCAATTATAACAGAGTCAGTCCTGGCGGGTCCAAACTTCAGGGTCATCTCATGTTTGTGTTTGTGTACAGCCAAGTGGTCCTCATTGGTGAACCTCTGCAACAGGCCAACAAGAAGAAGAGAGGGACACAGGAGAACATTACACGAATTAGCCAACAGATAATTGTAACCGTGACTTAAGGAGGCAGCCCATATTACTGTTATCCAGATATGAAATTACAATAATCACGCACAGATGTAGCACACCACATTAAGCCAATAGAGTGAATATTATGAGAAAATGCACAGAGAACACTGGATCTGTGGTATACTGTTTCTTTCCTGTAAAGGTTTATTATAGCTTGGGGGTGTGGGCATGCACACTCCAACATTAAGAAAAATAAATAAATAACTGAATTAGATACAGGATTAGTGTAGATGGGGGCTGAAATTACTAAAATGAATCTAAAAGCACAATTCAACTCACGGATGTCACTCTTTCTAGAATGTAAAGCATATGGGCAATGTAAACTATGGCTGGCCCTTCTTATTATATTACCCCCTATCAGATATCTCAGTAGGAGCTACGGGAGCTCTGACGCAGACATAAAGACGAAGGGACCGACTCTGTCCTCTTAGAAACGGAACATCTTCTGTTGAAATGCGGCAATATGATTCACTCAGAGACGTAGGAAGAATAATCTTGGCTCTGGCTGCAGCATATTCACTATTCACAGGAGCCTATTTTAGGGCGCCGTGTTACAGTTGCGACTTCAGTTGGGAGAACGCAGTGGAAACACAGTCTAGTGTCAGGAGCCTTATTTTTAGCCCAAGCAAAAAGCATCACCCCTACATGTCTCATCTGTCTCTTTCCTCTGAACGAAACAACTACATCGGCTGGAAGAAACTATCTGCCAGTAATCTCCCTGCCTAAGATAATGGCGGCTAAGATTACCTTCCTGATGCAATAAATACTGGGCACCACATCAGGAGGGTTTGTTGTTGTTGTTGTTGCTGAGGTTAACTTGGAAATAGGAAAACCTTGAGCTAAGCCAAAAGTCAATCATCCTTGTTCTATTACGGGTAAGATTCAAATTTTCCTGGTAGACAACTGTTGCTTGTAAATGCAGCAGTAAAACTGCATTTGGACGTTAAGATCCAGAGCTGTTAAGAGTGTCATGTATCTAACGCACATAAAAATCACCACATTGATGGTCCTAAATGCTCATGAATTAAACAATATAGACTTTTAAACCAAAACCCTTCAAGTGCGTTTTGGGTTCTGCCTTTTAATAGCGGTCTTCATCTCTTGAGACGTTCTTTGCAGTGGCTGCTTCTAAGTATGGGTCTTCCTCTATTTCTCGGTGTACCACAAGGCTCTGTTTATGGGACTAAATTGTTTTTCTGACATCTGCTTCCACTTTTTTGATGCCAGCACATTTTAAGGACATTTGAGGGCATTTATGATCACCACTAAAACATCCAATGAAACTCAGTTACACAATTAAAATAGAATAGAAAATCCCTTTATTGTCTCACAATGGGAAAATTCTGGTGTTAAAGCAGCCAAAAGATTATAGAAAAATGGGTCAAACAAATGTGGACCTTAGAACATGTAGCACAATAACATAATAGTGAACAGTTAAAAAATAAACAAATAATTTATGGTTAGCCCTAAGAACCCTTTACACTACACGTATTTCACCTGGCTTGCTTTCTGTCAAATCTACAGTTAGCTTTTCCTTTTATCATCTAAAAGATTGAGATTTTCTCTCCAAAGCCTTGAAATCTTAATCATGCATGCTTTTTATTCCATAATATTCCATATTTATTTTTTACCCTCAATATTTTCATTTTTCTATCATTTTAACCCATTTAGGCCGGGAAAGCATTACCGCATTTCTACCATTCAAGCCGGGGGCGCTGTTGCGTAATTCTACCATTGACGCCGGGAGAGCATATAAGTCAAGCAAGAAGAAAGAAGTTTTTTTCAAGCAAACATGGAGGAGTTTGACAGAGAAGAGTTGTCGGAAGGCAGTGATTTTGAGGAGTGTGTTGGCTTTGATGACGGTATAGATGAAAATGATGACTTTGAACGCGCTGAACCAATCGAACTACCACCGCAATGCACGGAGTGTTTTCAACCGCACACCTGGATTTGCCTGCAGACGCCACACCGCTGCAGGCATTTGAGCATATTTTTAATGAAGAACTTTGGATGCATCTTGTTACCGAGACGAATAGTTACAGTGACCAAACAAACCAAACTCCAACAAGAGCAAAGACGGCAAAGTGGTCACCCGTGACTGTGACGGAGATGAAGACATTTATTGGGCTGTGTATGGGCATGGGACTTCTTGTGTTGCCAGTACGAAGAGATTATTGGCGACAGAGTAAACCTCTCTTCAGGACGCAGTTCCCCCAAAATATGTCCCGGGACAGATTTGTGGCCATCTGGAGGTAAGTTGTATGCAATTTATAACACAGACATATGCATTATTATGCATAATAATACTGTTAATAAGTAATCATCAGATAGTTATTTATGTAGTTTGTTCTTTATTTTAAAAACGTTTTATATTGCACATTCTCAATGAAGACATGATCACATATGGAAAAAATAAAAGGTTGAATTTTTTTTTTTTTTTTTGATTACTGCTTTTCACTTTTTTTTTTTTTTTTTTGGAAGAATTTCAAAGATAAAATATATTTTGAGTTCTATCTGCTACAGAAGCTGAGATATCAATAATTTACTAGGCGTTGACACAGTTGCTGAATTTACAGAAAAACTTCAGGTTTTAGGGGTATTTTTTAAAATCGGCCATAGGTTTTTAAGGTGTTTTTTCCAGGCGTTTTAGGCCTAAATGGGTTAATAAAAGATGCCAACATCCAACCCAGCCACAACATTATAAAATTATAATTTCCTGGGTCCTGACTTCAAAGAAATTGAAAACTTTTGTTGTATAAAAATTAACTGTAGATTTACCCAGAAAACCTTGACGGTGGTCAGATTGTCAATATATTAATCCTCAAATCCTTAAACCTGAGAACAATTAAAGTTAAACAGATGATGGTCAAGGACAAAAAATGTATCAAGTTTTTTTTTTTTTTTACTTGCTTTTGTTCTGCTATTTTGTGGTCCAATTGATTAATTTGTTTTACCCATGTTTTTGCTTTTATTCAGGTTTATTTTCCCTCTGTTTTATTATCTAATTTATGTAAATCACTTTAAATTGTCCATGTACTGAATTGTGCTATACATATAAAACTGCCTTGCCTTACAATAGTTTTAGGGCCAGAATAAGAGAAAATAAATAAACAAGAATAAGGTGCTAATATTAACAGTTTATACCAGAAATATTACCAGAATATTACCAGAAAGTAGTAACGTTCCGAGAACAAAGTCACAGTTAAAATAAAATTAATGTAAATAAAAAGCGGAAAACACACAAAAGAAAAAAAAAAAAAAACTATAGGCTTTCACTAAACAAAATCCCAAAAAGTGAGTGATATAGTGGATTGGATAATAAGTTGTTGAAAACAGCAGCCATAAAGTAAAAAAACAGACCTGAAGTGAACACTGCTCACATTCCATAGAGCTAGCTGATGTTGTGATATTGTAAAAGTGCTCCGGCGTTTGACACCACAACACAACTCCAGACATGTTTGGATTCACACTCAAACAAAACTGCTGGCAGAGCCACATCTGTAGACCTGCTCTGTCATCAACATCACTTTTACTCGAAAAGTCTCCATGCTGCTCTTTAGCTGTTTTCTGAAGACAAGCATTAAGTACGCCTTGAATAACATCCACAGTGTTTGTCAGAGAAAAGGCAAAAGTCATACAAAGTCAGACTGATGACTTATTCGTCAAAAAATGCATGTTTGGTTCTCGGATTATACGGCTTCTCCTCCCTTCCAAAGTCCCATAAACAGAGGGTTTCTACCAATCAGAGAATTAAAAAAGCACATATACTATAGCTGCATGTATGAGTTCTTCAGATGCTCAAAGAGACAATTAAATTTAGTCTGAGAAAGCACCGTGAGACAACTAAATACACCCTTGATCAGACATGATGTTACCTGTGCTGATGAATTCTGAGTCATATGAAGAATTTCTAATCATTTCTTCTTCCTTTTCTTATATAAAGCAGAGACACAGACATACACCACGTAAGCCGCATGTGAGTGTGCTACTATTGCCAGTCAGCTGAGTCACAGCCTCAGTTCAAAACTGTGTCTGCAGGCGCTCAGCAGTGACAGGTTGAAACAATAACTCTGCTCCGATTGCTCACTGGAGCTTTCTGAGTCAAGGCTGAAGGAGACGGCATTGTCCCACATGAGCGTGCAAGGTAGAATGTTACTAACACATTGCTCATTAAAAATGTTACATAAATCATCTACAGTTGTTTATTTTGGCAAAGAGAGGGGGCTTCAGGAAAAAAGCCAAACTCCAATCAAAGGAAGCGTGTTTTCCAAATCGTCAATCTGCTTCAGCTCGAAATCATAGGACAAGTCAAACAGTTTCGACCACAAAGAGTTCCAGAAATGGGGACACCCCTTTCACACAGAAATTAAGGAAGGAGAAAAAAAAAAAAAAAGTCTTACCTGTCCACAGCCGGGAGCGTTGCACACAAAAGGTCTGTCATCCCCCATTTTTGCAAAGAGCTTGCAGTGAAACTGTGAGAGAGGAGAAGAAGAGAACATTGCAGCGAGCTTTACAGGATCTCTGAACTGCCAAATCCCGAAAACAACAAAACAGGGATGCTGTGGCTTGAAGACTTCAGTCTGAGCAGGAAGCCAAACGCTATTTAAAAATAACCCTGGCACGGAGGAAAACATGCACACAGGCAGCAAGAAGAAGTTTCCCTGGTGATATTTCCTTCTCGCCGAGGGGCTCACGGTGGCCAATGAGGAGCGGCTTACAGTAAGGAAGGACAGCCACCGTTTACACAAACACAGCTCCCTCTCCTTCTACCTTTGACTAAACCTCACTTAAGTTCACTTCCAGTCCCTTGCTCTCTCATGGCCACTCCCCCTGCTAACCTCTGCAGCACCACCTGACCTTTCCTCCGCTTGTTCAAACCCCACATCCAGCATCTCCTGCTCTCATTCATCTGCCGAGTCTTCTAATTTTTTTAAACTACCGTGTGAATTTGAACCAATTATCTATAATGAAGAATAGACACATGACCATGATTAAATTATACCTCTCCTTAGAACCTTTAATGTACAAGCCAACAAAATATTAACATAAATAGAGATAAAATGAGAATTATATCAATGTCAGTTATATTATTTGGAAAAATGACACATGAATAAAATGTTGGATAAAAAGGTAAAGATTTAAAAATGTGGGCAGTATATGAAATTGCTGCTCTAAATTAGCAAATTCTTCGTTGATTCGCTCCAATTCATAGGTCCCAGTAATGAATAATCTGATTTTTGTTACTGATTAAAAACAGAAACATGGTTAAAAGTAAGAACTGGCCTTGTTTCTGCTCTTTAAAACACAGTAATCCTCCCTGCATTTTGTGCGCTTTTATTGAATTAATATCTCTTACAAGGCATATTTAGGCTTTGATTCTTGTGCTTTAAAAATCTATAAAATTATTTAAAAACCACTACATGTTTTAACATAACATTGCAGCACAAATCTCCATGGATATACCTAAAGAAAATAGAAATTGGTATAATTCTGAAAAAGCTTGATCCATATATTTCTAGACGTAATATGTTCTGTTGTTGATGAAAAAAAGAATAGTCGAAGTTTATGCATTTTCGAATGGTAAATAAAAATAACTTCCCAGTAGATTGAGATCTTAATTGACCAATTATTGCCTTGATTTGACCTTATCAAATCAAACACTGATAAATCCAATTAGTTCAAAACTCTACAAATAACTACAAAGATTTTCTCTTTCAAAAACATGTACATTTCTGTGTCTTTTTTGTCTTAATGATAAGTGTTTAATAACATAAAAATGAAAAATATATCTAAATAAAAGTTTATGAATGTATAATTTGATGCGTAAACGGCTGTAATCCATATCCTTCATTTTCTATTTGATCCAAATAGCCATCTCCATTCAGGAATCTGCAGCAGATCTTTCTTATGTGTGAGAAACACATAAAAGCATTGTTATGGATTAAAAATCAACTTCCTTTTGTTTAATGCTAGATTGTTATTAAAATAGAAAACTGTATCTGATGTGCTACTAACGGGGTTTAAATAATTTCTACATACTGCAAAAAATGGGTCTAAGGAAAGAGTTACTGTTCGCCTGAATCCACTAGAAACACTGCAGCTTTCTACAGAGCTCAAAATAATTTCTTCATCCTGCTCCGTCTGAGTGGATGCTCTTGTAAAGAGTTAAATATGCACAAGCTCCTGTTTGGTTTCTGCTCATGTAGAGCCAAACTACAACCGATCGGGGCCTGCTGCTGCTGCTTCTGTCGGCAACTCCACCCTGCGCCGCACTGCACAGCTGGACTCATTGGGTAGAGAAACTGGAAAAGTTAGGTTAAAAAAAACTCATTAAAAATAAATCAGGGGAATTATTGTTGGGATGGGGGGGGCATGAATGTTTTAGCATTCTCAGCTGGCCCAAAGTGACGTCTGGCAGCGATTATGCAATCCTGTCCCCCAGACGAAGCAGCTGCCGCCACCATGCATCAAGTCTGTTTTTACCTTTTAAACCACAAACAATTAAACAGCCAGAATACAAACTGTGGGTTTTTTAGCAGAAATCCCATACAAATTTTATGATGTGGAATACAAACATGTTAAGTTGAAACTTCCCAGCCGTTTATTAAACATGGCCTCTTCTCTGTGTTTTGTTTTAATCAGTTTAAATAGATGCAGATTTCCAAATAGCTAAAAGGCAAGAATACTGAATAAAATTTCTTTACTGTGATATCACCGAGGAACCGACAGCATTAACTGTTGTTATACCTAATATATGGGATAAGTATGTTGCCAAACATTATGAAATGGGACAGATTATTCATTACTTTGGCTAGGCATAAATGTTTGAAAGTTTTCCCAGTGTTGAAGTCAGTAAATTTTCCTCCTCCTTCCCCCCGCCACCTCTTGCTCTGCTGAGGACGGCTGCCCTTGAGCCAACACATGATTACTGAAGCCTTGTGCTGGATTACGACGATCAACTTGTAGCTGGCCTTTTCTGCTAAGGAAACAAATGTGTTCTGCATCACATTTGCTAGCTAAAGCTGCACCTCTTTGGACAAAAAGCGCAGAACAGTCTGCTGTCTTGGTGGACCTCCCATACAGGCCGGTGATGGGGTGGGGGGGGGGCTCTAACAAACTGTCTCCAATTTGCTGAGTCTATTTGTGCAGGGATTCTTCTGCAAGCGAGATACTCCATCTAGCTCGTTATACCGATGGTGTGGACTAAGTGGAGAAACAGACACATCTGGCGTCAGGAGTGGGAACAGATTTTTTTAAAGTTTACTTCTTACTGAAGACATGCTTGACAATAACTTGGCTGCTTGGTACAGGGATAAAATATGATATTTGATTTTTGGAAAGTCCTACATAAGTTGCAGATGAAAGCAAAGGGAAATGCATTTTGTTGTGGGAGCATTTTTTTCTCCCTTGACCAGGGCTGCAACAGTTCGTGAAATTCTAGCTCCTGTTCCTTCACCTTTGGTCAGGTCAACAGTAAAGTGCTTCTAGATGTGTGTAAATCCACAGAAAGGTACGTGGATAATGCTGGTCGAATTGGGACTACAGTCTTCTGAGAAGGAACAGCCAAAAAAAACCAAAAAAAAACCAAGTTACATTAAAACACAAGTGAAGAAGTAATGTATGTTTGTTCATTTCCAGGAGGAGATCAGTAGCTATACATCGTGTTACACAAAGGATTATAAGATCTCTCTTCCTCCTTTTCCTGCCTCCTTCTAGCAACATTTAGGTTACGTTCACACTGCAGCCTGAAGTGACCAAAATCCGATTTTTTCCCCATATGCAACCTGGATCTGATCTTTTTTTATGCCAGTCTGAACAACACAGATCCGATTTTTTTCAAATGCGACCCAGACCGCTTGGCTATGTGGTCCTGAATCAGATATGAATCTGATCTTTTCAAATGCGACCCGTGTCTGAACGTCCAGGTCGCATTCATCTGACCTGAACGCCATTAATACCCGACAAAGGTCACTATTCTGGGTCTCGCTATGAAGAAGCGGCAAGAAAAACAAACACCATCGCTGAAGATGATTTGTAGAGCAGTGTTTATGTTTAACCATCTTGAAAAGATTGTGTTTTTATGGTTGGAAAAGATCGCTAGATACGCTCCGGCACTACATCCATGTTTACTTCCGTAAACACAGAGGACGCTGGCCTGCATTGGTGTCAAAAGCACATACATTTGTTACTTAAGTAGAAGTATAGATACTGCAGTTTAAAAACACTCTGGTAAAAGTTAAAGTATCAATTTGACCTTTTTACTCAAGTAAAAGTATGTGCTCCAAAAACGACTTAAAGTATAAAAGTAACCTTTAAAAAAAAAAAAAAAACAGCCAGATGCCACTATATGAATTTCGACTATTTCGAAACATTCTTTGAGATAGGACCAAGAATGAGGGAGATGTCGTTGGTCTCCATCTCCCGATACGCTCTTGCCTGTGTCCGACCTTTCAGACATTTCAACATCTTGTTGTGAATCCAAAATTGTAGCATGGCATAGACAATTCACGTTTGCAGTTTGAAGAACACCTGCTTGATTCTGAGGATTTCCTTTAGCTAACCAATGAGTGTTTGCATTATGTGACTCATCCAATTACACTAGTTTTCACTAGATGTGGATGGAGCCAATCATCTGCATTGGATGGCGCACATGATGTGAAATAAATATTAAACCAAAGAAACATTAAACCAGGGGTAACCAATTAAAAATCAGAGGGGTCCAAATAAAGAAAATCATCAGCCAGTAAAGGTCCGGAGACATTTTTAATGATGTGTTACTTTAAATAGAATTTAACACTTAAATAAAATGAGGTGTTTACGCATCTAAGTTATACATTGAATTTTTAAATAAACAAATATACATAAAACAAAAAGAAAATGTTTCCATCTTAAAATCTAAAGTGTTTTTTTTTTTTTAAGTAAAGAACAACAATCTTTTAGTTTGGTAAATAGACAATTTTCTGATTAACATATTTTTTAAAACACCTGAACTGACCGTTTGTTATTTTTGTTCTTTTTTCTGGCTTAATGAAATTATTTTAATTTTTTGGGGGATTTTATATACTCTAATAATCCCAGAGGGAAATTACTTTTCTGCATTTAAGCCGCCATTGTGCAGCACCCGGGGAGCAGTGTGAGGTTAAGGGTCTTGCTGAGGGACCCAGAGTGGCAGTCTGTGGGACTGGGGGACTGAACTCACAAAGCCCTATGCCCTAACCACTAGGCCGCCACTCCCCTTGGCAGTGCAGAGCAGTGGGCTTTATGCGGCCCTGCAAGGCTTTAAACCTGGGTTTAAATGGAGACAACACCATTCTCAAGCACATATCAAGATGCTCATTTTGAGCCTGCATCCATATTTGTTTTTGATTCTGTTCATGGTGGAGAATCCAGCTTCACAGCAGCAGGTTGAGCCAAACATACTCAAAATGTTCCGGCTCCGCTCCGGTCCGACCAGGTCAAGATCTGCTATTGCAATCGTACCAAACAGGGAAAAGAACAGCAAGAAGATCCGATTTGTCAAATTAAAATATAGTCACAACAGATCAGTAACTACAAATTAGGGCATAATTCTTAAATATTTATAAAACTAACACCATTTATTTAAAAGATTGGATGCAAACTATTGGTACTTTAACCCTTTAAAGCCTGATCCAAGAATAAAACAAAACAGAAAATAACTTCTTTTTGGTTTGAAGTCCTTATTTGGCCTTTTAACAAAATATGTAAAAAGATAAAACAGAAATAAATTTTTGATATTAATAATTTATTACTATGCGATAAGTCGAGATTATTTTTTGTGTAGTCTTCTTCCCTCTGTGATCAGGCATATCTGATTGTGTACAATAGGATTTTGAGCAAAGTTTTTACCATTAAATTATGCAAAAGGTGTCAGATGCAAAACATTTCAGAAATGGTATGTATCAAATATGATACAATTGGCATTACAGGGTTAACAGACCAGGAAGCAGATTTCTCATCTCCATCAGAAATGGCACATATGCTGGATGCTGATGGGGATGTTTTTAATATGTCATATTAAATTAAGCGTTCATTTCTGCATGTTTTGCTTCTATGAATTTAATGATGATATCACATGTGCTCTCCTAAAGCTCAGAGGATAAGTCGGAGCGCAGCAATACGGGAGGATCAGCGGCTTTGCTTTGCGCAGGAGGTCTGGAAGCTGTGGGGTGGAATATGAGGGATTTCAGGGTAACAGGAGAAGCGGCGCGGTCCGTTAATCCGTGACTTCTGCATTAAACCGAAGCCAAAAGTAGCGAGTAACGTTTGTTTTAAAAAATGTAAGGAATAGAAAGTACAGATACTTGTGTGAACATGTAATGAGTAGAAGTCAGAAGTAGTAAGAAAAATAAGTAATTGAGTAAAGTATAGATACGTAAAAAGTGTACTTATGTACCGTAACAAAGTATTTGTACTTGGTTACTTGACACCTCTGCTGGCCTGTGACGTCACTGCGTCCTCTACTGTGCAGGCGGGACACTTGCGTTGTATGACTGCAGCTCACACAGGAGATCACATACAAGCTGCATATATTTGGAACAATGCAAAAGAAAATCGGAATTGAGCATCAAGGACTGCAGTGTGAACGTAGTCTTAGACAGCACTGTTCAGGGTGTGCGCTGACACAAATCCAATTAGGCTAAAAAGTCCTCACCACTGAAGAATCTGGATAAAGCCCAGAATTTAGGCCTCATTAAAACACTTTTATACATAATACCACACTTTGCAATAAATTAACTCTTTAAAATTACAGCTGCAAAAATTGCACCAATATTTATACCTATGCATATCTAACAAAATGCTGTAATAAATGTGTGGGAATTGTGGAATAACCTTGGAGCTGAGCGTCTATACCCCCCCAGTTACAGCTCTGTTAATTTACATCATCAATGCCCATTACAGGTCTTAACATTAACTCCACATGTCTTTTTATGCCAACTGACAAAACTCCTCTCCTTCTCATTTACCTGCTGCCTTCCCACATTAACTTTTGGTTTCTCAAACTCAGCAGGTGTAGGGGAACAAGCCTCAGCTATAATCAGCCACAGCCAGCCAGTGTTTGATGCAGCCTGCTAGGAAACTGACTAAACAAACTGTATTAATAGCGCACACTGCAGCCATGACGCTGGACTCTGAGGCTTAAATTGCCTGAGGACAGGGAAGACCCCAAAGAACAAAAAAAAAAAAAAAGAACTAAGGAAAGAGAGAATTAAGTTGTTTCTTATGGGTTGATCTGAAAAGTGTGGAGTGGTTCACATTCAGCCCCATTATACCAATGCCCCAAAATATGACTAATGTAATGGAGTCCATGTTATTGTAATTGTATTCACTATGCAGTTTTAGAGCCAAAAGAAAACAGATTTCAACCTTTGGCATCTTACAAAGCATCTGTCCATCATTCTAGTAAGGAAAGAATAAAACACAACTAAGACCTGGGTTTTGTTTAAGGACACCAGAAGAGGATTAATTAAAAAAAAAACATTGCAACTCTGGAGGAGCTGCACAACTCTACTGCTCCTGCAGAGGAACACACCTCAGTTATCAAGTGTGCATACTGAATATCTATTCTTTATGGGAGAGTTATAAAGTATGAGATGTTCCAGTCAACATTATAATTATTCAGTCAACTTTTCATAGGCTATAAGCGGAAAAAAACAAACAAACACGGTGATGGCAGCACCATACTGTGGAGATGCTTTTCTAGAGAAGTACTGGGAAGTTGGGTATAGCGAATTGTTGGATGGATGGTGTTATAAAGCCGCAAAAAAACTTAAGACAGGATAATCATTTGTTGTTATGCCATCAGGTAACACTTGAAAGTCCACATTTACAAAAGGTATCCATGCAGTCTGTCAGAGCTTAAACTATTTATTCAAAGAAGAAAGGGGAAAAATGGTAAATGGCAATTTACATTACATTCAGCCATTCACACACACACACACACACTCTCATGCTGATGGTGGTGAGCTATGATGCTGCCCTGGGGCTCACTGACAGAAATGAGGCTGCCGTACACAGGTACCACCATCCATAGGCAATGCAGGGGAAGTGTCTTGCCCAAGCACAGAAATCAGGGTTTAAACTGATGCCCCTGTCGTGAACATTTCTATACTGTATGTGCAAAACTAGTAGAGACAGGCCAAAAAAGCTGTGTAGCTAACGGTGCTTCCATAAACTTGAGGTTTTATCGATGCAACATTTTTCAGATTCATATTTCCAAAACATTTTATGAAGGATAATACCTTCCAATTCACAACCATCCCCTAATTGTTGTTTATCCCACTTAAAAACCTCAACAAATTGCAAGTCTGCAATTTAATGTGACAAAATGTCCAAAGGTTTAAATGGATAAAAACACTTTTAAGGCATTTTAAGGACTGCATCATGGATTTGTAACACATCACTGACGAGGTCTAGGAGTTTCTGACACTAGAGATCTAGTGTGGTTGTCTGTGTTCAGGAGCCAACATGTATTTATGTCAGCAATGGGAACACAAGATTTAGTAAATGGGAACAGATGCAACCTTAAACCAAAGACCTCATAACTAACAAATAAAATCTAGATCCATGCCAAGATGTGGGGACAATGCAAAATAAATAATAAGGCATGGGAAATGTTGAATCTTGGAAAATGTAACTTATAAAATAATAATGTTTTTAAAAAGGTAAAGAATACAAATGCATATTGATACATGTAATACCTATGATTGGGTGAGCTAAAGAGACAGATTTATTTTCCCCCCTTAGGGTAACACCTCTCCTAAGTGATGGAATGAGGTACAACTGTGCCAATAACATGACCTACATTCCTGACTGAGGTGTTGACATGCGTGGGGACACTGATAGTTGGCCGTTCAACACTACATATCGCATTGCTGAGGATGTCACTGCATCTTCAGACCTTCACTTTTCCTTTCAGGTTCCTTTTGCGAACGCAAATTTCAATTTGCATTTTAATTTTTTATTATTATTATTTTTATGCTGAGACCCAGGGTAGTTAAAGCATAAAAAGTCAAAGTGAATTCCCACAGACCCACAGAGACTTCAGTTCCCTTTTCCAGACAGCGCTGACTCTCTTGAAAAAGTTTCTCTCTTTAGCCTCCATTAGCTCTCCGCTTTAGCCCCGCCTTTTCCCGTAACAAAACCGCCTTTTCTATGCAGCTATTGGTTCCCAGGGGGTCACTCGCTGGCATCTCATCCTCCTATTGCTTTTGGGGGCTGTCAATAAAAGACACGAGTTAACTCTAATTGGTTAAACGCTTCTTCTAACTTTTCGTACCCCCCCCCATCCAAAACGAAGCCTAACGGCTAGCTGCTATGGCTAGCGTTATCAACAGGCCGAGCGCACATTGAAAATGACTGATAACAACCATACCAACAATTTCTTTTCTGACAACCAAGGTGCGCCTAACTACGCCAAAAGTCGAACCATATACTTTAAAAGACAGTATAGAGGTTGAAAGCCCTCGCGTAGTTGGTTAGCGGAATGACACTTTAGAGCAAAGCAGCGAGACTCTGGGTCCGAATGAGTCGCTGAAGCTGCGACTAACAGTTCTGACAGTAACACAAACATGGACTCATGTCCGTCACAAACACCAAAACGAGTCAGACTAAGAGAAAACAAACAAAGGGTAACAAAACCGAACATCTCTTTGATGATATTTTAAGTTTAAAGTGTTTACAAACTCACCCTTCGCCCCTCTCTCTCTGATTCCCCTCTCCTCTCCTCTCTCTTGGAATTTGACACTCCCCTTGACTGTGAACTATCGCGAGATTTTACCTCTAGTTGTAATAACGCATTCAGAAATGTGAACATGAACGATTTTGTCGCTCCTTGATCAATGTATTTTTATCCGACTTTCTACGGATCAATGGCAATTTTATCAGCATTTTTTCATTTCCCATTCAGTTATTTTTACTTGATCTTATATCATTGAATATATTTCTTAGGATATTTCCAGCTGCTCACACAACAAATATTGATATAAAGCCCTTTTTTTGGAAACTCACAAAGTTCCAAAAACAAAGTTACACTAAACTACCTACACACTACCCAGTAACTATTTGTCCTTTCCATACATATATACATTCCTTTTAGGAACTTTACCAGAACCTTTCCAGAATTTTCCTGGAACTCACTAGAACTTGATGTTTGCATTCCTTACATTTTCCCAAACTAACTTTAGGTCATTTATAAAACCTAATTCTTAATGTCAAGAACTTTCATTAGATTTTTACCAAAAAACAAAACAAAAAAAAGCTACATTCTTTTATGTAAAGTTATTGGTTCCATTCATAGTATTTCCTGGAATTAATTTGGGGTAATGGGGAGGCCTTTTCAGAATTGATCAGGTGCATCTTGGACACTTAAGCATCCTTCCTAGAACTTATCAGCGATGAATTTGTTTAAATGTTGGTAACAAAAAAAATATTTTGATTAAATGTTGGCAAGGAAGTATGCACACATTATTGTCGTTCTGACAAACTCTTACATCTCTGGCATTAACGAATATAACCAGAATGAGTACATCAGCGATTATCTTTCGGTAAACCAAAACCTTCAAAGGTCAAATATCACAGGTACTTAATGGGTAAGTTTGTACTGCTTTTAAGTAATTTAAATTCAAAATGACTTTATTCATCTGAAAGGGAAATTAAATAATGTAATTAATTTATTAAATGTCTGCTTAAGTGCTGGAAATGTTTGAAGGGCAATGTAAACTATGCTCTATAGACCATTCAACTGATCTTCCCTGCAAATAGTTTGACCTAAATATTCTAAAACTGGAAGAAAACATGGGGACAGAACTCAGCTTTAAATTTACTATGGAATAACGTATTCATATTTAATATAACACTTAGCTTAATAACATTGCACATATAAAAAAAGTACTACATTAAAAAGGAGCCAGCTGATGCAATCCACAGATATTTTAAACTGCAAAGATGTTCATTCACTGTTATAGGATCTAAAAACAGAGCGAGAGAGACCCCTAGTGGAGTGCCTGAGAACTTAAGTGAACATATTCAGGACAGCTTTAGTGTTTTACAAATTATTTAATGGAAAATATGTTTATAGATATAGGTGTGGTTCCAATCTAACAGTGAATAATTTGGATTATATTAAGAACTTTCTGTTAAATATTTATAGTCTAAGATTTAAGTTACTAGTAAAGTTGGGGCAATGTGCTGTATGAGTCATGAATGGGAGCTAGTCAAGATTTGATCATTTGTATTATAAACGGTAAAAAAAAAAAGAAATCAATAACACGAGTTGACAGGCAAATAAAGACATTTATTTGCATTATACAAACAAATAAAAGAAGCACCTTTGCAGGCATACACAATACATGATCTCAGGGTTAATTTATATATACTTACAGAACAGGCAAACAAAATTAGGATACAAAATGGTCAGATGGTAGACCCCCAACAAGGCTGTTGCCAGCATATTTAGTGGTTTTACAAAAAGACAAAACTTACTCATCATGCCATTTTTTTGTTTTCTTTTATCATTAACACTTTAAACACAGAATTTAAAACAAAGTGACTTTAGTTTCGGAACCAGTGAGCACCCTTGAAAACAGGAAGTTTTGCAAGTTTAACCTCCATTATAAAAAAAAAAAAAAAAAAGAATAATAAAGCCAAAATAAACAGCAACTAATGAGAGTGGACATGGTGATTTTGCATTTGCATTGACTACCTGGCACCTTAAATGAAACTGATACTAACAATCAGCACAACTCTGCTGCTTCTACATAAATACAATTGTTCCCATCTGGCACAATCATTTACTGCTTAAAACAGGTGTGTTAAATACAATATCCTTAGCAAATATCACCGACAGATCACTCTCCTAAACTATCATACACATTATTTTAACACATTACCTTGCAAAAACTTAATTGCCCTTGAACTTTTCCACATTTTGACACATTACAACCACAAACTTGAGTGCATTTTGCTAGGACTTGGTGACGCATCAAAACAAAGCAGAGGATAACTGTAAACAGTAATTTAGAAATTTGCATCAGTGTATGTCTTCAGAAAAAATATGAACGCTATTGAGTACAATCAGCCTTACCATATCATACAAACAATAAAACATGGCGGTGGCAGTATCATGCTGCAGAGAGGCCTCTCTTTAGCAGGGAAAAGATGTAGTCTGAGCCACAATTGTTTAAAAAAAACTAAAGTACAGATGTCACAGTCACATAGGACATTTAACTTTTACTTTTAATTTCACACCTAAATAATAAAGCCAGAGCCACAAAGACTCAGTAAAATACTCAGAAGCTAAAATGGTCTAGTCAAAGTCCTCACGTAAATCCCACTGAGAATTTATGGTGAGAGATTGACAGTAGACGAACTTTTGACTTTCTGAACTTTTGAGCGTTATTTTAAATAAAAAATCGTGTAACTGTGACTGAAGCAATGTTTTATGCGAGAAAAGGCCTTTGTTATGTAGATTTTTATCATTTAAAAAAAATTATAGTTTGCAGTTCTGATGTGGGAAAATGTAAAAAAAAAAAAAAAAAAAAAAAAAAAAAAAAAAAAAAACAGATTTATGAATTCTTCTTCCAGGTGCTCTACATGAACCATCCGACAAATGCTCCCTCACGTTAAAAGTCTTACCCAATATATTATTTTATTTTTTAACAAGCCATCTTCTATCAGAGTCCAACAGTTTCTTTCACAAACCTAATGAAGCAAAAATTAGTTATAATAAGCATACTAAAATATTCCAACAAATAGTTTTTTGGATATATCTGAAGCAATTAAATGATTAAACATCTTGTCTAATCTTAGTTTATTCTCACAATGAAGTCGAGCAAATCTCTTGTTTAGCTTGAGGTTGTTTCTTTTCTACTTTTGCAAGCAGACTTAACTGAAAATAACCAACAGCTGTTGAGTTGGAAATGCGCAAGTCCTGCCTTGCTCATTCACAGAATGCTGATTAATTCTAATAGTCTGCACTTAATTCACTCCTCATCCAGATGTTGTGTAAAAAAGAAAAAAAAAAACACGCATCTGTATCGACTTGCCAACAAATGCAGTGTAACGAGCTGTTTAATCATCAGCCAGCAGGGTCTGCCGTTGTCATCAGTCTCTCAGTAGTAGATATTCTTTAACTGTTTCAGGTAGAGGAAGCTCTTTCACTGCGGTAGGAAGGAACTGCACTCCCAGACTCTGGCGTATGGTGCAGCGTGCTAGAGAGCGCAGCGTCGGAGCCTGTGCCACCATGTTAGTCAGCCTGGCCAGCAGCTGGGGGTCTTTGCTCAGCTCCTTGGGAAGAGTGCCATCGGCACGTCTGATCTCAAAGCGCCCCGCTGCTCGGCAAAGCAGCTCCAGGCACTCTTCCTCCTGTTCGGTGCCCAGGCCTCGGGCCAATAGAGCCACCAGCCGGGATATAGGGGTCTGACCCTTCAGGTTGGTCACATGGACCTGGGCTCCGTAGTCTAATAGAACTTTGACACTCTCCAGGTTGCCCTTCATCGCTGCCCAGCTCAAAGGGGTATCATTGTTGTAGTCCCGGGCATTGGGGCAGGCCCCGCTCTCCAGCAGGGCCCTAACGCACTCCGGGTTGTCTTTAAAGGCAGCCCAGTGGAGCGGAGTGTCCTTGTTGCCGTCCAGTGCGTTTGGCTGGGCCCCATACTCTAACAGCAGCTCCACGCAGCTCTCATCCTTCTCTGCAGCGTAGTGCAGCGCCGTGCGGTTGTAACCATCCAATGCATTCACCTAACAGAGGAATCACATCATCTCAGCTTAGATATCCGAAAAGAAAGAAAACCTGCATCCAGAGCTAAAACTGAACTATAACTTTTTGCAGCCTTATGACTGATAGCAGTAGACTGTTTTCAACATTTAATAATCAGAGTCAATTTGAAAAACGTGTTATTAAAGAAAAAGATCTATATAAAAAAGCTGCAGCCTTTGGAAATAGTTTTTTTTTTCCTCCACTCTGTTGCTTCAGTGTGACTCTTGTACCCGTCACAACAAATGTGGACGTGAGTCTGTAAATAACAACTGAACTTGTTATGTCAGTTTCCCCCCAGCAACCTACAGCCTCTTCTGTTTTGTTTATGTGAACGTACCTGTTTTAAAAATAGAAAAATACAGACCAAAGCAATATCATCTCTTCAGATTCAGGATTATAATCACTGCTTTTAGTGATTATTTTGGCTTGTTTTGTGTTGTTGATCTTTTACTATCTCAAGCCATCTAATCAACCATGGTTATTTTCAGATGCATTATAGGAATACATTTGAGTAGTTCTGTGTTATTACAGTCTTTCCACCTCAATAATACCATCACTGTACTAAACCAGCAAAGAAAGCTCATAATCTAAAAATCCAGACTGATAATGTGTAGCTGTCAGGTTTAGTTCTATTTATTATTAGTCTGGAACTGTTTTCTATTTTGAAATCCAACCTGGAAACAAAAAAATTAAAAAAATCAAGCTCCATACTTCTAGACATGTGAAGACTGTGTAGGATCCCTGAAACCTACTATAACACAAGCATTACTAGTTTGCCAATAGCTACTGCAGAGGCTTAAAAGCTACCTCTTGCGGTAAAATCCTGCTTTAGATTACAAGCGTGAACAAGTTCACCTCTCTTAAAGCGATCTTTATCTAGAAAGATTGCAGTTCATCTAAAACTTTGTGGCATAAAGTGGAAAAAAAAAACACACCTCTGCTCCTTTCTCTAGCAACAACTCCACACAGTCAGCATC